GACTGAGTCTCAGCACAGAGCGGATTGGTCCTGTGGGGCAGGGAGACAGCCCTCCACACTCGCCTCTACGGCATGCTCCCTCGGAAGGGACGATTAATTGCACAGAAAACAATGCGCTACAGCGTTAAAGTGTCATTTTTAGTCCCGTTTAATTGCCTGTTTAGTACTTCCTCAAGGTTGATGCGACTGAACCGGGGCATCAGTTTCAGTCGAAGCCAGGCACTTCCTGTTCAGTGTCTTACGTGACTGCAGAACGAATCCCTTCAACTTTTTAATTTCCTTTAATTCATATTGACCCAACTGTGAAAAACTCGGCGCCTCGGTGGGATTCGAACCCACGCAGTAAGGGGAAGGCTTTAGCGCCGCCAACGCTCGTAGCTCAGATGGTTAGAGCGTTGGCTGCGCTAAAGCCTTCCCCCTTACTGTGTGGGTTCGAATCCCACCGAGGCGCCGAGTTTTTCACAGTTGGGTCAATATGAATTATTCAAAATCTGCTAAAATGTGAATGAATTTCCTTTAACACCGAGGGATCTTTGGATTGTCTAAGTTCAGCGAATATTCCCATGTTACAATTGAAAAGTCAATTTGACAAGCACGTGTTTTTGGTAACTCGTTATCAGGCCAAAACAGGGCTTATAAGTGATTCAGGAGCTATTAACACTCATCGTTCTCACGCCACGCCACAAATCGATGTGTATTTACTCATTCCCTTGCTCCCGTGGAGCGGGATAAATTGGTCGTACAACGAGGCGTCTGGAAAAGAGAGTACGTGAACACATACTGGCCTGGCTAGGCAGAGGTAAAAGAAATCGATTTCGAGTTCTATTCTTGCACATCTTGTCGATACGAATCACCGAGTCGATGCCAATGAAGCCTTTCAGGTTGTCTACCGGACACCAGCAAGCTTCTCCAGAGGCCTACGCCAACGGGTGCTAGCTACAGCCGTGGCAGTGGCTATACGGCTAGCCAATCTAATGCTATGCTGTCAGAAGACTGACACTGGCGCTCTGTCGTCCGTGGTCAACGCCGACCCCAACGTCGTCCCAACCTCCTGATGACAGTGGTGTGTACACAACGTACCCGACGTACAAACATTACTCACAGCCTATGTCTCCCTCCCCCTGACCCAATGACCACGACACGCCGACCACGCCATAGCACGCCTCGCCATGCGAGTGGCGTGGGAGCCATGAGAGTTAATAGCCCCTGAATCACTTATAAAACCTGTAATTTCGCATAATTCCAACTTCTATGTAACTGTTTTGGCCTGATAACGAGTTACCGAAACCAAGCGTCTGCCAAATTGACCTTTTAACTCCCCCCAGGAATTAATGTGCTAATTGGGAATGAGGCCCTAAAATGCTAAGACCGGCAGTCGGTACGAATATTTGGGTGACGTAACAGCGTAACACTTCGTGAGTTGCCAGCAGGCAATCAGTAGTGTATACATGTTGCACGACCCACCATACTGGCAGTACAGGTACTGACGAGCAGAGGCAGAAAGCCGGCGAAACGCGTATGTGGACTTTTGACTAGTACCTACGCTGTCAGTAGGGTGAATGACGCTAGGAGGGATTTACTTTGAAGCCATAATTAAAACGTTCTTTACTCGCACACCAACGGACGTCGAGGCGCTGTCAGCGTTATACGGTTTGTAGTAACGAGCCTAATTTCCAGTTATGGATTCCAGTGTACATGCCAGAAATCTGAACAGTTAGTGTTCCGATGTAAGACAGGAGGCATAACGGACGCCATGTTGGGCTGGATTCGCGACGATGAGGAGGTGAGCAGCACTACCAAACATAAGATAAGCAAACTTCTTCGTCCTCTTAAATTGTCGCCGTGCTGCAATGAAGGCAATAACAGAGATACTGTAGGGGCTAAGAGGTGATGGCGTACGCTCAGTACGCCACAACTTCAGGCCATATCCCAAGTTGTCAGAAGCAGGACGCCATTTGGTTAGGATACTTTATTCTGTACAGAATAGTGAAGGGGAAAGTTGGCAACCGGACGAGGATGCGTCCAGCGCCGCGGAGGCGGCGTCCGCGTGATCGACGAGCCCTGTGTCGCCGAAGGTCGCCGCTGCAAAAGTGCGGCTGCAGATTGTTTACGCTAGTGGTCTGGCTGTGCCCGCCAATGTACCAATCAGCGAGAAGAAGTGCGTTGATTGGTTCAGAGCCCACGCGAGGGTAGTGACAAGCCTCGCGTGGTGCAGGCAGAGAAGTGACCGAATGCGTGGTGCAGACAGTGAATTGAAACGAGACAAATCGAAACCGGGCAGACGTGCGTGCCATAGCAGGCTGTCCCTAGGACGTAGGTGCAGGCGCTAGCGAGAGGCGCGACGTAGCCATTATGGCTGTCCACTACAATACGAGATCCAGAAATAGGTGTTGGTTGCAGCTGACGGACACGTTGAACTGCTTTCTGGCTTATAGGCAGAAGACCCTTCCCGATAGCTATGCTGAGCCAAGACATCTTTGGGAAGTTGGCACAAGAAGAAGAAGAATCGAGCACCGGAACAATTCGTTTATTATCCTGAGCTTTCAGACTCGTACTGAAGTCCATCGTCAGAGGTAGTGGCAGAAACAGGACAAGCGGCAGTTATAAGGCACGTAGACCCAATCATCGACCGACGTCGCACGACTGGAGGTGACTACGAAGGGCTCTGTACGCCGGCGCCAGATCGATAAATCGATTGACCGAGTTCTCATCCGAGGCCCAGGCTTCAATCAATTCTCGGCCTGTTTTGTTTCCGGCGTGGGCGACTATTTTGGTGGCTGCGAAGTCAAACTCGTGACCCATTTCGTAGGTGTGGGCAGCCACTTGTGACAATGCGTCGCCTCGCCGCACAGCCAGCTTATGTTCATGTATGCGCGATCCGAGCATGCGTCCAGTCTGTCCTGTGTAATTACAAGGACAATTTTGACACGGAATGCGATACACTACTCCAGATTGCTCTTCAGGTTTTAACCGGTCTTTGATCTTCATGACCCTGTTGCGCATGGTGGCTTTGGGGCGGTGTGCGATTCCAACCCCTAGCTCCGCAGCAATGCGCTCGGTCGCTTCTGAAACACCCTTGATGTATGGCAGAGCATGCCATATCGTCGGTGGCGTTGATGTTTGAGTTCTCTGGTGGCGACCGCGTAGGCAGCGACTTATGAATGCCCTCGGATAGCCATTTTGCACAAACTGGTTGCGGAGATAACGGGCCTCACGCGCTCTGTCTTCCAGTTTGCTGCAATGAGTTTGGATCCGTTTGAAGAGCGTCTTCACACAGCTTCGTTTGTGAGCCACCGGATGGTTGCTGTGAAAACTGAGAAGCTGTGTGGTGTTCGTTGCCTTCCTATAAACCGTCGTTTCAAGTTCACCGTTAAGGTTTCGTCTGACGAGCACATCCAGGAAGGGCAACTGCTGCTCCTGTACTTCTTCTCTCGTGAATTTTATATCCGGGAAGACTGCGTTGAGCAGGCTGTGAAAATGTTGCAGCATGTCCTTCTTTACGATGACGAACGTGTCGTCAACGTAACGTCGCCAAAACACCGGTTCATGTTGGAGGAAGGCAATCTTTTCCAACTCCTGTAGGACCAGTTCTGCCACCAAACCGGAGACCGGTGAGCCCATAGGGGTTCCCTTGATTTGTTCATAGGTCTCTCCCGCAAAAGTGAAGAAAGTTTGTTGGCAGAATTCAAACAGCCTCATGAGGTGTTCAATTTTGAGGGCATTCTGAGTCTCATCGTACGCCTCTTCAAGTCTCTTGCGCAAGACTTCGCGGGCCACGTTTGGTGGGATAGATGTGAATAGCGACGTCACATCAAAGGAGACCATGATTTCGTCCGATTGAATTCTCCGACCTCGGAGGTCTATGAGGAATTGAGAGGCTGATCGAACTGAGGTAGTCGAATTGCCTTGGAGGAACTTCAGTTTTGAGTACATCCACTTTGCCAAGTTGTAGGTGGGGCTGCCAGTTTTTGACAGGGTGATGAACAACTAATATTACATTCGTTCGCAAGGCGTCGACATTGTGCAGGGAGGTCTGATGCAGTCAGTCGTTTCACAGTCAGTACTGATTGTCAGCACACAACTCTCCTCTGTGGTTCCCCTAAACTAGGCTCTGCTAGCGGTCACGCCGGGGTAACCGCCTTGACCGGAGGGCTAAACCAGAAGAGGGTACCGGTGCTGTGTCTTTGTGTATCCCCCCGCACCCCGAACTTCTACCCCCCCCCCACTTCAACATGGGAGGGCGCTGTGCAATCCTGTAGACGGCCCACGCTAACTCGGGCCGGTCTTCCACCAAACAAGGCCGTAACCAATAGTGGAGTTGGGCAGCCGCCTGGGATGTCGCAGCAGTTCCATTTAGGGACAGTACTGTTTATCCCCTCGCGGAAAAAGGAGATTGGGAAAGTTGCCCTAAACAAATGCCGGGATCAAGTCAAATGCATGCAAACCGTGGCTCACAAGTGTAAAACTCATGGTAAAAACAGTAACAAAAACCACAACCCTCACCACCACCACCACCACCACCACCACCACCACCACCACCACCACCACCACCACCACCACCACCACCACCCTCTGTCTCTCCTCACAGGCTGCTGGAGTCTGCAGCCTGAAATGTTTGTATTCTTTTGGACAATGCGAAGAGTGATCGGCTAGCACGGAGAATGGCCCTATTCGTTCGAGAACTAGCGTACTCCAAGGTGGACCTCACTTCTGCCCTCGAGACCCCCTTCTCCGAACAAGACCAGATGGAGAAGGCGGGTGCTGGCCACAACTCCTTCTGCAGCGCCCGCTCAAAGGCATAGCTAGGAGACGCGGGCGTTGTCTTTGCCATCCGGAATGCCCTAGTGGGACGACTGCCCCGTCTGCAGTAGGGCGTCAACGACCGCCTCATGGTCTCTTGAGGGAACCTAATTTGTCACCATCATCAGAGTCTACGCCATCCTAATGACCGATTCCGACAAAGTGGGAGACATGTTTTACGAAGAGATCCAAGCCCTCCCGACGACTGTGCGCAAGACGGATATGCTGATTTCCCTTGGTGAATTCAGTGTCCACGTCAGGACAGAGCAAGCTGCCTGGGAGGGAGTGCTGATCCCACAGAAATGGCAGTTGCAGCGTCAAAAACCTGCTCCTTCTGCGAACCTGCGTGGGGCACCGCCTCTTACTGATCAACACCTTCTTCCGCCTCTTGATTCTGAAGAAGGCGACATGAATGCATCCCCGTGCGCGACGCTAGCAGCTGTCGGGGTACGTCCCCCTACGGAGGCGAGATTGATAGGATGTGATCGTGATAAAGGTGATCTGTGACGTCAATGGCTGGATGGATCATTTCTTTGTCGTCTCCATGGTGAGGCCTCGGATGCATCCTCACAGAAAACCAAAAGGCGAGCGCTCACCGATTGAATACTTCTCTACTGAATTTTTCTGCTCACCGCTTCGATTTCAGCAATCGATTGGCCCACCTCCTGGATGATCTGCAGGCTCCCGCCTTGGAGACACGGTGGCGGCAACTGTGGAACGCCATCCAGTCCACCGTCTTGGACGTCCTCGGACGCGCATGTCGTCAGCATCAGGACAACAACGACGCAGATATCAGCAACCTACTCGCCGAAAAGAACAGACTAAACAAAACTTACATCGACCACCAGATCGACGCAGGCAACGTGGCCTTCTTCAAATGGCGCCGCTCGTACAGCAACGGCTGTGGAAGATGCAGAATGCGCGGTTGGCCTGCAATGCAGAGGAGATCCGGGGGATGCGGAGGACGATGAAACAAAGCACTACTTCGCTTCAATCAAGGCGGCTTACGGACCGCACATCAAAGAGGCTGCGCCCCCTGCCAGGCCCCGGTGTGACAACAGAGAAATCACAGCCTCTGAAGCGCTGGGCTGAACGCTTTAGGAACTTCCATAATCTCAGTCGCTGTCATCAGCAGACTTCCAAGGGAAAAGGTATAACGGCCTGAACCTTCCGTCTTGCCTCCCGGAAACAATCAAATCCGTGCAACGGCTCCACCAGGGGACGGTACCGGTGTTGGACGCAATCCCCGCCGAAGTCTACAAGTACGACGACACTGGGCTGATGGACAAACTTATTGCACTGTCGTCGGCTAACCAAATGACAAGCCCAACCTGGAAAGAATGGAGATTTAAACCTTGACCGCCAGGCTTAGTGCCGCAGGTTCGTTGTCCTGTCGCGGGTGGTGCTCGGGAATATTAACCACCGTAGGGGCCGGGGGGGGGGGGGTGTTTGTTAACCGGATTATGGGTCGTGCTTGTTGCGTTGCGACATGGGATTCGAATTAGAACCTGCACATGTACCCGCATAGCACGAGCTCGTTCCGCAACCTGATCGTTGAGCGCCCATCTGTAATAATTGATATTTCCGATCACAGCCGACAGGACAACGGGCCCGTGGCTCAATGGTAGAGTGTCAAACTCCATGACCAAAGATCCAGGGTTCGAATCCTAAGTGGTCCACACTTGGGGTTGGGTGTGACTGGCTGATGACGAACAAAAAGCCAGAAATGGACATTCCGGTCTCCCTTGTCTATGTTGGTGCCATATAATTTTCATCTACTACTAGTCGCTGTGAGACTGCCTGCGAGGGCTCAGGTATGAGCCCCAAGGCACAACGGAACGGGCGCGTTTCGTAATCTGATCGGTGAGCGCCCATCTATCACACGACGGCCGCTTACTGGCACGAACGTCAAGCGATTATCGATTTTTTAAGTGCACTCATGATGTAAACTGTGTTGGCAAATTCGCTCTCCGTCTGGGTCTGACGACGAGCCGGGTGCCGTTGGAATCCAGTCAGATGTCATAATTGTGAGTGGCGCGTGGATCCTTTCTCGAGTGTGAACCAGTGCCTCATCGTGGTCGATATAATAACAGCCCCCGACAGTAACGAGTTGTCAAAGACCTTGGTCTATGCTCTTGTGGAGGGTAGTCTGAATATAGAATCAGGTGGGCAAAGGTTGCCTCCTTCTGATGGTTCATGTTAAGCACGAAACTGCTGTCTGGGTCCGTCTTATTGATGTTAGACTACTTCGGCTGCGGTCGCCATCCGAAATGGCGATCGACAGAACGTCCAGGTGACAAAGGCGATCTGTGGAGCCGATGGTTGGACGGAGCATTGTCTCATCGTCTCCAAGATGAGAACTAGGATGCACCTTAGCAGGAGGCCATAAGGTAAGTGATCACCAGTTAATTTAAGTACGTCTCTATTTAATTTATTTGCTCCCCCCCCCTCGTATTCGCCTCTGGATTCCCCGATCCCTCCCATCCAGCCTCCGTGCTTTCTTCAAAAATCCCCATCGATAGGGGCAAGGCGAACTTTACTGCTCAGTTGACGTCATCAGTACACCGTGCTCCAGCCTCAGGCCCGTGAAATCTTTCTTGTTCCAAAAACGGGTTAAACGGTAAATGGACTGAACCATATCCTTGCCGACAACCCCTAAACTCCAGCTGCCGACATGCTGTAACGGGTCCTAGTGCGTCACCTTTACCCCAATGAGAAGCGTGCTGATTCGGCGTGGCGATGAAGTCCCCAGGATCGAGCTCAGTCTCCCTTCCCTTCAGCATGTACCGCTGGCCTCTCCGAGCAGTTCAACAGGCTAGTAATAACATCGGGTCCAGTGGTTGATGTAGCATAAAACATTTAGTTTACGTTCACCACACACGTGCTGGTCCCCCATCTACCTTGACCATATCTTGCTAAACATAGGCTAAATTTGCGCAGAATCACAGGCGATGTTTCAGTCTTCGTAATTACGTTGGCAAACTGCATTACATAACTGTCGCATTGTTTATGTGCAGTACATTGCTGATAGCTGGCAAGCCGCAGCAGCAGCAGCAGCAGCAGCAGCAGCAGCAGCAGCAGCAGCAGCAGCAGCAGCAGCAGCAGCAGCAGCAGCAGCAGCAGCAGCAGCAGCAGCAGCAGCAGCAGCAGCAGCAGCAGCAGCAGCAGCAGTGATGATGATGATGATTATGGTGGTGGTGGTGGTGGTGGTGCTGGTGGTGGTGGTGGTGGTGGTTTGCAGCATTCTCATTTAATGTGTCTCTCCTCTGGCCTCGACTTCCTCTACTTCGTTTGTTTCGAAGTTGACTTTTTCAGTTCTTATGGTGTGGGCGTCAACCCCGCCGACTTTGTGCGGGATCTTTCCAGTTTTCTTGGGTGAATTGCGGGAACTCAGGGGAGGTCACCCTTCTGTTGGCCTTGTACGCCAACATTCGTGACGACGTCACCGTAGAACAGTCGCTGGAGCATGCGCTTATAAGCCATCTTCACGGCATGGTCGCTCCGTGGAAGTCTACTAGGCATATCGATAGCAACGGAGTCCCACCTACAGTTGAATGCTCGCTCCTCATGTGACTCGGTCGTTTGGCCTGACGGCTCCGTGACGCCGATCGATATTTCGCTCTTCACTGCTAGGCCGCAGCCGGAAAATGGCTCACCCCTCGTGCTGACGGCCAACGACAACTAGTTTGTGTTATTGGAAAGCCTTTGCTGCCGCTGACCTCTGAGCCGGTTGTATGTCCCCTGCCACAGGAATGACTGTCCCACCAATTCTGCCTTTCTGACTTTTGGCGTGAGGAACTTCTCCTTGTCGACCTTCGCACTTCGACAGTTCCATCGCAGCTGCCCCTGTTCTAGTCTAGCCCAGGTGTTGCGCACGCCCGTCCTTTCCAGAACGTCCGTGCCCTTGATCCCCTTCTCCCACTTCACCTTCAGTTTTCCACGCAGGAAACCGAGCTGAAGGTGTTTTAGTTTCCATGCCTGGCTATCATAGACTGCCCGCGTCTCCGCCTTGTAGAGGTGCGCGGCCCCGAGTTTCGCGTCGAGGAGGATGCCGTGACAACTTCAGAGCAGGTTTTGCAGCCTACCGAAAGCCTGGCTGATTCGAATGTCAATTTCACGCTCGACCTTTCTATTTCCTGAGATTATTCACTCTCTGTACGGACGTTTGTCTACAGCCCTGAGGCGACTTCCATTGACACCTGCCCTGAGTCCGTCAGTTAGAGCCGGTTAGCACATGACCGCTGTCCTCCCTCCTACTAACGGGCAGTTAGGAGTTAATTTGGTCGAAATGCGGTTGTTTGTACAAGTGCAAGTCTTGATGACCCAGCCGGTGCAGTAGGTCTATTAAAACACTGCAATTCTGCCGGTCAGATTTCTTGGCAAGGGTCGATTACGCCATCCTGGTCCCAAGTATAAGCGAAATATGGGCATTGCAAGTACGGTAAGTCGAAGGGGGATGCTAAAATCGATAGTGGGGAGTAGCTGAGGTCACATATGGTCATGTAGTCCCACATGAAGTAAACAAACCCCAGCCACCTGTAATATGGGACCAGTAAAAATGGCGGTTTTTACAGGTGGGACCGGGGAACGCATAGGAGGCGAGGTCAAATAATTGTATACAAAAGAAAAGCTATTGGGAATGCGCGGTTGTACTTTGAATGGTTGAGAAATAGTTGCCCTAACTTCTAACCTCAATCTCTAACCCCTAACCCTAACTTACAACTCCAACACCAACAGTATTGTGTACGCCAGGTGGGGCTAAATAAACACTTCTTACCGTAGCCGAGACGATTGTGGAAAAGTTGACCTGATGTATGACAAGCCTGCCGTAAGAGTGAAGAAAGCCTAGAATTTCCGCAAAAGATCTGGCAAACGGAACACGCGACCCAGCAATACCTCAAACCTAACGGTAAATCTAATCGTAACCTAAAAACTAAGCTTTATCCTTAACGTAATTATAGATCCAACGTAAAAACCTAAACTTAACACTAAATCTAACCCTAAACCAACCACGAACCCTAACCCTAACCCAGAGCCTAACCTTAACCCTGACCCAAACCCTAACCTAAATCGTAATCCAAATCCTAACGTCAACCCTAGCCTTAACCGTAGTCCTACCCTAACCCCAACACTAACCCCAATCTTAAGACTTAACGTAAACCTAAATCGCAATACAAACCCTAACTCTAGCCGGAACGCTTAAACTTAACACAAACCCGAAACCTAAAATCAATTCTCAGCTGGACACAAAATCAAAACCTAAAACTAACCCTACCTCTAGACCGAAACACCAGGTTGCCCTTCTCAGTTTTAGCCTTGGCTACTTCCCCTTCGGCTTACTTCACTTGCAATGCCCACATTGTGCCCACACCTTGGACTAGGACAGCGTAACCGACCCCTACCAATTTCTTGATTCCAGCACTCTAATATCCCGGATCTAAATGTTTCAAATACCTCCTTAGGCTAGTCTGAAGACGTTTCAGGTGGGAGCAATTGGACTTTTCGGCTGGGGTCTTATGAAGGGTACAGTTATGTACACCGCGTAGCAACGTCATACACGATCACGCACAGTATGCACCGAAAGGGATGAAACATTTGCTGAACAGCTTTAGTCTACTTTCAAGTAGAGGCGATGACCCAAGTGAAATCGAACTACTGACCGACTAAGGGCGTAATCTCAGACTAACGCGGACTTTTGGCCGACCGTATTTCAAGTAGGCTGTGCCTGTCGCAATCAGGAAACTCCGGACTGTAAAGTTAGTTCGCAGCCCCTTCTATGTCCCAGTTTTGACTCAGCACTACTCTGGTGACTTTGGTAAATTCGCTCGCGGAGAAAATGCCCCCATGCCGACTGTATTTTTTTAAGAAAAAAACAGGTTTGCCCTCAGCCGCGTGTCGTTCCGTCCACCCGCGTGAATCGCACTCGCGAAAACTCATTAATTAAGTCGTGTGCAGACTTCCACCGATTTTCGGCATCTATGTGCATGCAGTCACATGCTATGGAAGGGACAAACAAAGTCCGCATCTTACGGAAGCTACCTTCGTCTCCAACTTCTGAACTTTAAGAAAGGAAGTTTTGCAGTCTTGGGTGAGTTTGCTAGTGTCCACACATACCTGAATCAAATCAACCCAACATTTCATGTCTCCATTAAGAGTCCTTTGAGTGCGCATAAAGCATGTCAGTGAGGAAGAAATGCTGACGAATACAAACGAGACGGGAATGGTTGTTTCCGATTCGTCAACCGTCGTCAGCCAGCCCTACGCAACTCCTGGGACTCGAATCCGGTTCCTTTGGTTATTGGGCGTTTTCAGGTTCAGCGTTCTACCACTGAGCCGCGGATCTACCAGGAGAATTCACTGTCGTGGGCAAGGTGTTCACGGACCACGCTTTTCCCTCGCAGACAGTTGCTTAGCAACTAGCAATGCTAGGGGTTTCCGTCGCATGCGTTGTGAGTTGCCTTGATGAGCCTGAAAATGATTGGTCACTTGAACGATTACGCCGGCATTCTCTGACTTCGCAGAATTCCAAGTCGAAATATTCCTCCTCCCCCCTCCTCCCCAGCAAAAAAGGTTAGAAGACATAGTTGCATGTAAGGGAATTTCGTGAAACGGATTGCTTGTTATCTTTTCCGCGAAGTATGATTGAATATGTGGAGGAGGGAGTTGGACCGTCGCTTTCGACTATGTCTACCCTGTGCCCCACAGCATGGCGAGAGCAGGGACGGTGACTCGCGCGTGAGATAGTCTAAAGTGATGTAACTTTGCGGTGAACCTGTTGCACTCTCCTCCCCACACCTCCTCCTCCTTCTCCTCCTCGTCCATCCCATGGAGCCAGTGTCAGGACAGAATCATGAAGACCGGAGGCGGGAGAAGACACAGGTGGCTTGCGCGGCGTGAACCCGCACCTAGGCGTACCAGCACACCCCCTCGTACACATCACACACTGACTAGGATTGTACACACAGCGAGAGAATAGGGCAGAGTGCGGTTCGGATCGCGCTGGACAGGAGTGCCATAGAGGCCACATAAATGAGGAGCCTGATTCCCCGTCCACCAGTCCGCCACTCCACACAAACACACACACACACACACACACACACATACACCCTGTGCTGACTGCAAGATTCGAATTATCCAAACGATCGATAATGCAGAGTCGGCAGATATGGGAGGAAAACATGCGCACGATTTTGGCAGCAGGTTCTTTCACATGTGTGAGAAATGCGTAAACGAATGTTAGTATGCTACTGTGGATGTAAGTATGTGCCCTGTCATGTGGCCTGACAAAATCTTTGACTGGACACGAGAATGCCAACATCTCCACTCTAGCTCTAAATTCCAAGGGGCCAGATTTTGGGCTTAGGTTAGTGTTAGGGGCAGGGGAGTTAGAATTAGTGTGATGACTTGGGCTAGGTTTATGAGGACTAGGGTCGCACTTAGGACAGGAGGGTAGAAGCTCCCTTGAATCTGGCGTTCAGCCACTTGTAGCACTGGAGGGGGTCTTTATTCCCAATGTCCGACCATATCTTTATGTAGAGTTAAGTCCAATGAACCAGTTGCATACGTGAATCATATAGGTATTTCAACAGGTTTTCAGTACGCACGCAATTTAAATAAGAGTCCCCCTGGGTGACGCATACAACGCTCATTCCTATTGCCCTGTTTGGACGAAGCCGCCTCTAGCCCAAATGGCGCACCTAAAAGAGGGCAGTTCAGAAAGTTAACATGTTTTTGTGAATTTTTAAGCGTAACCAGCCTTTTTGGTAGTGCTTAAGATTCTGAAATTACATCCCATGCCCACTTTTCTAAGAAAAACCCACAATATTTTTCAGTATAATCCAGTAATTCTGTATATATGAGGGAGATAGGCAGAGCCTTGGAAAACCCTATTTATAGATAGACGTATGAAAAAAAACATGCAGATATTTACATGACAGTTATGCCAGTCACTGATATCGTGTAAATGTTTGACCATCAAGCAGAAATTTATTTAGTCCTCTTTTGAAATTCTCAACGTTTTCCGCTAAGAGGACGGAATTCGGCAAATTGTACCATCCTTCAACCAGTCGGTGGGAGAAGAATCTGGCCAGCAATTCCAGTTTGGCATATTTTAGCTTCAATTTGTATTGGTGGCCTCGAAGATTGGCCGTCCGCGCCAGTTCGAAGAAATCGTT